GTCGACCTCTCCCGCGACCCCCACATCACACGGGGTTAATATCTCACTGTGGTTGTCTGGACTCCCTCGTGACTTCGTGACTTCAAAACCCAATCCCATTAAGACCTCGCAATCAGAAAGCACCACACAATGATTCCCGCGAAACCTTCTCCCTTTGAAGAAATAAATACACTGATTGCGAAACAAACCTTAGAATCTACATTTCTCAAATAATTTGTACGCACAGATGCTATCACATGTAACCTCCTTCCACTGACCCAAGGGAAAGTCACCTGGCCATACCTAGCATGGGTCCGAGCATCTCAAATGGACAATTAGTCGTTGTCAGTACAGGTAAGTCCAGGTGCGACCCCCGGTGAGACGTGTAACAGAGTAATCTCTTGTGTTTTGTTGGAAGTGAGTTCTTTGAGACGGTGATCGGCAGGTGGGGCTGGATATATTAATGAGCCATTTTCATTCGCGTGATTTTGAGTTCAAAAAACAGTTGTAAATACAGGACCATATAAAAAATCGATGGTAACAGCGATGATGGTGAAAGTGACTGACATTTTCATAAGGACAGAAGAGATCACCATTATAAAATTATTGATGTTAATAATGATACTAACGATTGGATATCAGTAATAAGTGTAAGGGTAACTTTTAATGCAGGCGATAACATTTATCTATACTTTTGTCAGCAACTGACATTATTATCACTTATTAGTTAAACCGGCAAATTTGCTGTTATATAAACGTTATTGAATTTCCCTCATTGTTGTTGTCTATTACAACTATAATCAATGTTTTTATCTACTGCAATCTTATTATCATTATCATCCTCACCACTAGACGTATCATTGTCATTTCATTACCCTTAACATCTCACCATTACGATTCGTATATTATCATCACCACCAGCATCCTCAACCTATGGGAATATATACCCCATATTACTAATAACTGATAGCAATTATGTGCCAATGATACTGGTGATGAAAGCATCACGAGCACGTACAACAACAATCTATTATTCCCATCGAATATATAACAAGGACATGAACAAAGGAACAGTACCCTTCTTTGTTTAGGGCGTATGTAGACACACGCCCTTGGTATAATTAAATATAACGACGCCTTAATAGAACTGACCCTTAATACAACGCCAAGAGGATACCAAGTAAAGAAGCGCGTGTTACTTTCCCATAACATTGTAATTTTGAACTTCTTGTGATTTACAGTAACTGGATTTGTATTAATGAACGGCGTAGTTAACACGATTCGACGTAGTTAATCATCACCGACATCTGTTTTACTCATGCGATTAGCTTTTTATATCGTAAACTTAGAGGGAAAAACATCAGAGAGATAATGAATGAAAAAGACCTCTTCGAGCAGGCTGCGGACAAGGAAAATCCTTTGAGTAAAGCGCAGCTCCATATTCATGAAGAAGGCCCAACGACCCTGCCAGCTTGAGCTCAGAAAAGAGAAGAAATCCTTATCTCGTTCGTTTCTTGCTGAGAAAAAAAGAGAAAAAGGAAAGGAAAATGGGAATCTGAAATTAGGCCTAAGAACCATATCTAATCTCAACTTTTTATTTATCTTACGATTTTTCTGAAAGCACTTTGTGTAACCGAAGTTTTGAATGTATTTTTTGCCGGACTATTAGCGGATATAGTTAAAATACCTTTCTTAAAGTGCAAATCACTACAATGTGAACGGCAAGAGGCTAAGAACCGTTAGTGTAAAATAAATTCTGAAATTCAGAATAACTGCAAATCAGAGATTTCAGAATAATTTGGAAATACTAGATTAACATTAAGCAGAAAACTGTTAAAACAACCTTCAATGATCAAATTGATAACAATTCAAACATATAACTCATACATTGCCTTAGGCGTATAAAAGCAAAGAATCTGAGAGTGTAGTTGCGAGTTGACAAGACCAGAATGACAAGTCCTAAGATCACTCTCCGCCCGCACCAAATAGCGGGCACTAGTCAGACTTGTGGCTAGAAGTTCGACTAGTGTGCAGGGAGGCCAGATTAGGATGTCTAGTGATCTAACTGTTTATTTGTTAGTATCCAAGAGATTTGTATCTGCTTATGTTTTTTATCTGTTATACGATTATATAGAGTGCTCTTAATATCTACACGTTTCCATTTCTTCATATGTATTGTTTATATGTGTTCATTTGTATTTATCAAGTTAAACACTTAACTAATTGTGCAATTTGTATATTGCAAGAGACTTAAAACGTATCTACTCCAGGAAACGTCGAACTAAACTAACTTTATTGCCCGGTGCCGCGGGCTTCATGACCTCGCCTCTCACCCTCACCCTTACTCTCTCACTCGCGAACTTCCCAAACTGCGTTAATAAGAACTTCCTAGAGCGACGCGTCTTATCATTAACGTTCAACTGTCTCTGATGAAGGTAATAAATGCGACATCCGGGGTCTTTTTAATGCGGTCTCTCGGCCATGTAAAGGCAGTATGTGAAGTTTTCCATGAACTCTTGGTACAGTTCATGTTAATTTGTTACTGTTTTTTTCATAATTAGAATCATCGTCAGGCGATATATTTTAAAATCGTATCGTGGAATATACTGAATAGATTATAGCCACATATAAAGTCATATATAATAAGCCATCTCCGAGATAACACGGGGTTCTCCTTATCTTTACGTCTCTGCACTATAGGCCATTCTCTACACACACCGCAGTAATTTCGGAGTAAACCCAAGACATTTTCTCTCGCTCGCAAAATCACATTTTCAAGAAATAACAACCGTTACCTTACATCCCGTCTTCTCGAAATGTGTGAATGACCAGCTGATCCTGAGCCAAATTAGCGCCCAAGAAAAGGCTCGCGCATCTTCGCCTCATGTCTGCAAAGGAGGTAGTCTGGTGGTTTGTATTTATGATTTCGTTCTAATGTCTGATTTCAGTTACGGAAACCATTATTGTGTCTTTAAAACGTGAACTATGGGTTCTTTTAAACAATTGCTAGTTTGACAGTGGATTTTTTTTTTTTAAGTTTAGTAGTGATTATTGAAATCGAGCTAATACTTAGCATGAGCTTTTGTAAGCACTTACATTCCCGGTGTGTTATATCACACCATCATTTATTTGCATAATGTTATATTATTCCACCCTTTCTTTACGTAATTGATAATAGTAAAATGAAATAATTTAAACTAAACTACCTGAATATAAAATGGGTTGTAGTAAGAAAACGTTACTACTGCCATACGCGTTGACAAAGAGGGAAAGTTTCTGTCATCCTTTGCCTTTCTCTAAAAACATGGCCATTAGTCATTTACTAAAATCCACACTGCCCTATTGATTATCTTTGGAACGATGAAAAAAGTATGATCTACCATTGCTATCAATATTTATCTTCAACTGAATTCATTCAATATTGTGATGGTTCTCGTGCACTAAATAGAATAGAAACCATTCATTATCATTCATGAAATGTGATCTGTGAAAAGATATCTGTCATTCAAAGTACATAACTACCCTTGATAATTCGAAATCTATTTAACCTTATTCATCTACTACCGGTAGATAGATACTTATATATAACAAAATGAACTGTGGTGTTCCGCAAGCGATAATCACGACAAAAGTACGATGCATTATATCATGAAACAACATAATCATTATCAACAGCTGGTAGCAAAAAACGAAGGACATGGCAGTGGCACAGGTGATTATTCTTAAATTAAAGAAATGAACACGAGAAATTAATTACATGGAGTGAAGAATGTTTTTGTATGACATGGTGACTGAAAGAATCAAAGCGTTTATACGACGAATAAAGAGCGAATACTCATGTGCAGACAGCTGCAAACGCCACTACATACACGTATGCATGTGTGCATATGTATTATATTTTTGCGTCTAAAATATAGACACGATGAAAAGAGCAGTGGGTCACTGTTAGGCTGGGTTAATCTATAATACTGTAAAAATTCCTAATGGCTCCAAGTCATAAAAGAATCCCTTCACGATGAGGATTATAAGGGGGCTGAGAAGTGCCTAACGTGCTGAATTTATTAAAGAGAGCATAAAGTGTGCTAAAAGGGTTCTAGAGTCTCATGTAAAACTATAAATGCTTCGAAATGTAAATGAACTGATTATCACCCTAATTTATTTTTAAATCAAAATTATTATTGTAATTTATGGTCTCATTCCGTACATTGCTTTGAGCATTATAATAGCCATACATTGTGGCCCATTACTGTATCCCATTAATATCAATAAGATTATCATAAATGTAATTATCATTTATGTCGTGCGATGCACTCAGCAATAACAATATTTACCACATAATTAAAAATATCGTAAATATTACCATCGCATTCATAATATTGAGACCATTAATGCTAATGACAGAATAGGTCAAATGATTTAATGTTTCTGCCGAAAAAAATAGTAATTCAATACGTTTGACAAAATAGTTATAATCAAAATATTTTGTAATACAATTTGTTGGCAAATTAACAGTCTGAATTTATATTCAATTTTCTGCTATATAATGTTGCTGTCTTCATTCCCGTTACGAGTATATGTATCCCATTATTATAATTGTTAATATTACAATTACTATTGGAATCATACAGACAGATCAAACTTCATTTAACTGAAAGCTTATATTTGTATATCATCCATTACCCACTTTATATGAAGAAAACTACACCTTAAATTTAATGGAATAAAAGTTAACTCAACGTTCACCGGGAACATGTTCCTGCCATCGGTTTCTGGAGTAGGTTGCGCTGGCGGACGTACGATTCATAAATTTCATCAAGCGCATCAAAACAAAAATCACATATATACACAACGCATATACCCCTTATAAATATGTTACAGTTGACTAAAAAACATTGATTTTGATTAGCTTTACTTGAAAACGACCAGAACTACAGTATGAGTGATTATGGACTTGCCGGCACCGTCTGTCAAGTTCAACGTGTTCACGCGAGGAAAGTTAGTTTACCTTTCGTGGTGGGAGAGAGAAGGTTGCGGAAAGTAACAGGAGGACGGTGGCGTGACTTAATTTCCCTATATTAATGCTGAATTAACTGGTGGTTGGATGAAAATGATAACCCTTTGTTATAAGTGATTGTTCCTGATTTGAATTTGATTTGTGTTTTGGTAATTTAGCTGTACTCTAAATTATTGTTTTTATGTATTTAAGAAACAACATTGAAATAAGTGAATTGTAGTGAGCTGAAGTTTTGGATAAATTTTCGATAGAAAAATAAAGCAAGGGAAATACTGTTTTAG